TATATATATATATATATATATATAGACTACTTTTACATTTGCAAGATATTTTTATTCCTTGTGTAAACCAGTCATTCATTTTGTGCATACTTTTTTATTTAACTGGAAACTAGTTAGGTGATCATTACCTTGTTTGTATAATGAATATTATATTAGTAATAGTAGTAAGCCTTCTGATATATTAGAGTATAGCACCGCTACTCTGACCAATTACCATTAATGACCTTGACCATAAGCATCATGAACTGCCATGGAAATCTTAAGTCTCAGCTTATTCTATTTTGCAGAGGGTCCATTGGTTAGAATGTCTGTATCAAAGTGGAAAGTTCCCTTTCAAAGGATCTATTCTGAAAGTTATCAATTTGGTTATTGTCTGCCAGAGTTTAAGAGGATCTGCCCCTCTGTGGTAAGGTACTCGGTCTCACTCTTAAAGCCGATCCTGAGTAACGTGAAGTAAAGTGATATCTTGTCTATGTAACATATACCACCGATGTTGGCAGAACATTTTTTGCTACACGACCCAATTATGGCAGCTGTGGATACTGCCGAATGTGACATAACAAGTGAAATCAGTAAATTTAAGTGATACAAATTAAGAATTTTGTTCATATATACCTGTCACATTTATAGCTTAACATATTTTTCATCCTTTTTTCTAGGTTGTTTTGGTCTGATAGTGCTGCCGCAGGATGTAGTGGGTGAAGAGGGGCGGGCATCTTTGTTCCCGTTCCGTAATAGCCTGTTGTACCGCCAGCTTATGTCATCTGTCGGTGACCAGTACAGAGCTGGCAAGAGCCAGGTTGCAGATCACAGTTCATCAGAAACACCAGGTATGTGTAGATGTCTTTTACTATTTTCTGGTAACTTATATTGAATGAAGCAATAAAAGCAATCTTGGTCGAAAGATAATCTCATCTGAATCTCATCAATTCATGAGGAAGTATTACTGCTCTTAAAAATAATATAATAAAAGATTTATACTTGTCAACTTTCAAGTTAATCAGAGTTTGGAGTTTTATCCTTTCACCTGAAGGCAGAAGCAGAACCAACTTCCGAAACATTGCAGTTTTAATAACGCTTAGATGATGGATGGATATATATATATAAATAAAACAACAACAACAACACACACACACACACAAGTTTAATTGGGTTGGATATTCAGTTAATAATGATGCTGTAGCAGCTGTTAAGGTTATGTAGTGTGTCAAATGAAATTTGGAAGAATGATGAATTGAAAGGGATGTGAGAAAAAGTGGTTGTGGCCTGTTTTAAGGCAATTTCCTGACATTTTTATTAAAGAACTGTGGGAAGTTAGGTAGCCGGTCATCAGCTGTGATCTGAATTACTTATCTCCCAAACATGAATTATACATGTTACTACTGTTGTCATTATCTTTGATACTTAATGCTTATCTGAACAGTAGATTATAGGAGGGTCCATATCTATAAGATTAGAACTGATAAAATTCACTAACTGTGGTGTCTGTTCTTTGCCCACGTTTCTCTTAAAATAAATTATGTTGAAATAATCTTTAACAATAAATTACGTCATCAACAATGTCAACTATAAACAAAATCGGCATTGTTGTGGAACACAACAATGCCGAGTAAACAAATAACGCTTCACAACAAAGAAATCAAAAACTATCAAGCCAGTCGCATTATCACTGCTCCAGAA